CGAAGATAACCTAATACATGCAACGCTCAAATGAAGAACTATTAGTACTTCGATACAGTAAGGATTGAACAACAAAAATTAACACACTCTTGCATAACAATATCAAACTTAACATCACCAGGACCAAAACCTCGAATATAACAGAAAATGTGGTCTTCTGTATAGACTGAACGTAATTGGGCGAAAGTATTCCTGAATCTGCAAATTTATTCAAGGCCGTTATATAGTTATGGCAAAAAAAAAAGAACATTTTTCAACTGCTCTAATTTTTCCGAAAATTGGTCACAAAGTATGAGCCCTAGCGTGTGTTGTTTGTATTTTTGAAAGGGACGAAGGGATGGTAGATTGGTAGTCTTCATGTTAACAGCCATTATATTGTGAACAAGTTTTATGCGATGATATTTACTTCTGGAATGTGTATGGCATAGCTTACATTTTGTTCATGATTGAGTGCGCTCAAGAAATATGTTCCATTAGATTAATTAAGGATAAGTATCACGCACTTGTGCTTAATGACTTAAAGTTGATTAATGGCTAATAACGTATGTTGGGTTCAAGTTTGCCATGCGTATTCTAATTTGTATCTCACGCATCAGTTCACAGCGAGCAAGCGCACGCGAGGAGCATGCCGTCGCCTATACTACATAAGTAGCAGAACTTCTAAAGTGTCTTCGCACATAGTGTACTCCAGGTATACACGTACAGCGGGCCTCGCAATCATATTGTGGTTTTGACACACAAAACACCAGAGATCCATTAACTAGTAATTAATTCAGCCAAGCTGCGACGCCAGGCTTGAATGACGTGCCGACGATAATGGTGGTCTCTTTCCTACACTGAAAGCTCAAGGAAATGAAAACTCATTCAACACCCGTTTTCCTCTTGTTCAAAAGAGAAGCCTTAAAAACGGAGTGTACGCGCGACGCCGACAATGAATAGACAAAAATATTTCTCGCCTAAACGACGCGCGGTGGTCGCTCATGCTGTCACTGCCCCACCCATTTCTTTGCCAGTGTCATTCACAAATCGCAACATCTTGATAGGCACCATCGCGCGCCTTTCGTGTATTGTGACGCGACTTGTTTTGTGCCAGTGTTTCTTCCTGTTTTTTTGCTCATAGTCGCCTTTAAATTCAAGCACATATGCAGAGTGCTACTTGCAAACAGGCAGTGATTTCGCTCTACACGTCGTACTAATGTGTTCTGATCACCGCGATGTCCATGACCACCTCCAAATTTCTTTCACTGGAGCAGGGGTTAAGGTTTAGTTGCAGAAGAAGAAGGCGTTTAATGAGAAGGAGGAGGAGAGGTCGGCCTGCAAAGCTGGTTTCTAGCCTGCTACTCCTCACGGGGGTAAGAGGAAAAGGGAAAGAAAGAAAGAGGAGGGCATGATGAAGCTCGTGATAGGAAATAGGTGCGGACTAAGCAAAACACTGACTACCGAGGTTGCTTTGCCAGGCAGACAGCAGGTTTGTAAACAAAATTGTAAGCAAAGTGAATGAGGGCACGTTTACGTAGACGAACGCACTGCCACGTCTGAACGACAAACAACAGCCGCAAATAAACACGTCAGATCGTCTTTCCTTCCCCGTTTTTTTTTTTTGTCAGTATTGAATTACGCGAGATGCCATAAAAAAAAAGGGGTGGGGGGACTTGGCTATAAAACTGCTTTGTTTTGAGAGGCTATCATACAACCGACTCAAGTTCACCACCTTCGAATCCGTTTCCTTTACCCAAGTGTACACTGGTGACAATATTTTCTTCTTAGTTTCCACATGATAATAGTTGCATTCGAACACCTTCATTACTCCGTTGGAAAATATATTGGGTGCCAGAAGAACATTTTCTTCGATTTATTTTCGCCAAAGAAAGCATATGAAAGGAACTACTTCAACGCCTCCGTCGCCAACAACTCAGGTAATTCACATTTTCAAGAAAACTTCATTTGAGTTTGGATGGTTATACAATAAATTAGCAATGTTCTGAAAGGCATCTCTTTCAGCTGCCCTGCGTAACATTTCGAACAAAATTACACAATGTATGTACATGCACTACATACTCCTCTATATTCCACCATTTGGCCCTGACAGCACTTTAAATAAATAAATAAATAATTAAATAAATAAATAAACATGGGAGAAGATGTGAAGAGAGAAAGCAACATGTTGATTAGTAAAGATTCGCAGAATGCGCAATAGAGGAGCCATAATTGAATGCTACTGTTTGCTTTGTGCGTGTACAAAGCATGCGCCGACTTTTTTTTTTTCTTCAAAAACTGATCCGTTTGGGGCACGCGCGAAGTATAATTGTACTGCATTACTACAAATGACACGATTTGTACTTTAGCTCGGAACGCATCTTGCGCTGCATTGTACTAATCTTCGCTGTAAGCAGTCCGGAAATGAATGCGTAATCGCTGTCCTCCTATTTTTTCGCTTTTTTTTTTGCAGGCTTGTGTATCTACGTTTGCTTAATACGTGCAGAGCTTGCTAGCGCATGCGGGTGTTACTGCTCGAGTAACGGAATGGCATATTCTGTCGAGCGCCTGCGAGCGCTTCAAAGTTCAAGCTTTGAATGTCGCCCATGAGAAAGTGCAGTGTTTTGTCAGCATGGTGCACCAGTGGCTCTTGCAAAGCAAAACACGTCGAAGTTTCCCGAGTCCGTGGCAGAAAAAGACAAACCACAGCGACCCTCGTACCGCGATGTGGCACAGCGTAACATTTAAAACAACGACATTTAAAGAAAAGGAATGGCATCTGCAAAGTAAACATGTACCTCACTCTAGTCTTTAATAAAGGAAAGCTTTAGGTGTCTCATCGAACGTGAAAAATGACCAGCCTTCCGCGTCGGCGGAGTGAACGCGAGTAATAAAAAAATCAAGCATTGACGTCCCCATATGACGTCACCATTGCGTAGCGTGACGTAACTTCTAAGGACATTGTAGCTTGGTCAAAGGTGTGCCGGTCATGGAAGCAGTGCAAAATCAGCTGATGTACCTTCGATCACGGAGGCAAAGGAAAACGAGGTTGGGTGCAGACAGATTTCGGAGGGCAGGATCAGTGCTGTCGAGCTAGAAAAAATAAGATGTATTTTGCCTTCGAGTCTTCCTATGTGACTAGTATTACATAAAAAACTGTGTGATTTTTTGTGCTTCTGGGTTATGAATAGATGCAGCACGCACGTGTCACTGCATCTTCGCCTTATCTAGATTTGAAAGAAAAAGTGAAAGGCTTCGGTATCCTCATCACCACAAACAACATCAATGAACAAAAAGGTCGATTTCTTCCAGCTGCTCAGACAGGCACACGCACACAGTACTTAACACCGCATGCTGTTTCACTTCAGCCTTCTAGGTTCCCATAAAGAAAAACGTGTTATAATTTCGTGGCGTCCACCGGGTCTCCAGCTTTTGCGCTCGAGCGCGTGAACTCTCGAATTACTCTAGCTCTAGCTTTTCCCACCCGTGTTTATTAATGAAAAGGAACAAAAAAGCGCAATGAAAGGGCCACTTTAGCTACCACTATTGCATTGCGTGCGACGAACATGCTCCGGTATTCGAGCTGCATCCTGGCATGTAAGCCATGTCATTGCGTGCGACAACTGCATCTACGCGTGCGACGTACACGTGTTCGTATTAACTTTGCTCCGTATACGCTTGACCACTTGAGCTGAATAATGACAACCTCGGGAAGTCCCTGATGCTGTGCTCATACAAAGCCATGTTCTATTTTTTTATTTTTTGGTCTTACTTTATATCTTTCGGATTTGACATCCTACTTTGCCGGCTGTTCAGTACATTCAACGTGCTGCCGTATATACTGTTCTCTCACACTATTACATCGCTCGCGACACAAACAATCTGTTCTATTACAAGACTATACTGGTAAGTGTATGAGAGAACTAAGCCATATTTATGCACTCTTTATGTGAAAAGCTACGCATTTATCTCGCGTATTTCTTGAAGAGATGAACAAATGCAACTAAAGATTTGATGTTGTTGTCCTCGTCGTTATGATGTGTCGCGGCCAAGGAGTCGCTAAAACGTAGCTTGATAATTACAATAAGATCATAGCTGCGAACTTCATTATTCATGTGGTGCCAGTGGCAAAGCCAGATTATTACTCCTTCTTTGTTAAACTATTATTATTATTATTATTATTATTATTATTATTATTATTATTATTATTATTATTATTATTATTATTATTATTATTATTATTATTATTATTATTATTATTATTATTATTATTATTCATGGAACACATATCACACAATGACAATGGACCCTACTTGTCCGCCGGCGCCCCCAACAGTTATAAAATTATCCCCCCTCTTCTGTAACAAACTTCCGCCAACGCCACTGCATTGTGCAACTGAACATTTAGGTTTGACAGAGTGAAGTTTACACTGCATTTTCCGTATACTCAGTGACGAACATGTAGCCTGCTGCCATTATTGCTTCGCGAGGTGCTTGCCAATGTCAAGTGCCACTCAAATCCCAGCAGCACGAACGCGGCAAAGACACGAGAGTTTGATCTTGCGGTTGCGCAGTGCACTTTTCTCAGAAGTGAATCAGGCAAGGACAAAAAAAATAAAAAAAACTAAGACCAGAGAGCGACTGCTTCCGTCGGAGGCTGCACGGGGCAGTGGTACGGGGCAAACAAATGTCAAAGTCACCACTCAAACTAAATCGTTTTTCTCGCGGCCCGTGGCAGCGAGGTGTACCCTTCGCCTGTAACCTTGAACAACTATTTCGTAGACATTTCGCACGCGTCGGCCACGACGATGAACACCGTGCAAACAAAATATGCGTCTCCCGTGCGGACGCGCGAGAGCACGCGCGATGTCGCCCGGATCAACTCTTCCATCTCAAGGGCAGCCTTCGCGAGAACAAACCGAGCGCGCCGACGCGCGATTGGTCGCTCGACGCCGTGACGTCACGACTCGCCGCCTGCTTCAAAAATGGAAGGCGCGCGTGAGCCGAGGAGGAGTCGTTCGGCGAGAGGAAACGCGCCCGTCTCGAAACCGAAAGTGCGTCCGGTATTCGTCTCTGTCGAGCAAGTCCTCGCGACGTTCGAAGAAGACATCCGAAAAGCTCGCAGGGCTCGGTTCGTCCCCGAATATCTTCGCCCTTCTTTCTTTTTTTTCCCCCACCTTATATTGACTTAGACGCCACCCCGATTGACTGGTAGCTGTCCACGAAGACCGCCATGTGCCTACTTTACCTATTTGTGAATCCCCATCCGAAACCGGACGAATACCTGCTCGTGTTAGCCAGTGTGCGAGACGAGTTTTTCGGCAGACCCACCAGCGGAGTCCACATCTGGGAAAACAACCCGCAGATCGTCGGACGTGAGTGAAAAAACATTTAATATTCGTCTCCTCTTGCTTAACAGGCTGTCACAGTGGTTGTATGGCTTCCATTTACTTAGTTTTCTAGTGAAATAGTACTAACTTCACCAGGAGGTGGACATTGTTTCGTTCATGTGCTCTCTCACGTAAAAAAAAAAGTGAGAGAGAAATAGAACAAGGGTTTGCAGTTGCACTTCGTCGCATCTAACACAAACCTAAAACTGAAGTTCTTATTCTCAATGTTTCATTTCGTACATTTTTTTTTCCAAAATCGTGAGAACCAGCGTATAATAATATCTCTTCTGCACGATTTCTCGCATTTATATAACACGGCGTTCAAAGCAAATCACTTGTTCCTTTTGAGAAACATTCATAAAAACTATATGCTTTCCGTCTGCTTTTTATTTGATATTCTTAAAGAAAGATGCATCGATCATGCGTGCCCATTGGGCAGGCGAAGTAGGCGACATGTAAATGTAGCTTGGCCTCCCTCCATTCCCCCCCCCCCCCCCTCCACCCTTCCTTCACATATGATCATGATAAAAGCGCAGGGATAAGTGCCAAGGTTAAGCAAAATGAAAAAATCTGCGCGTTTACAGGGTGCACACTTAGGCCCACATGAACCACCCCTATGCCGCGTTACCGCCACTCATTAATACGAAAAAGAGTGGGCTTGCAAAAACGGACAAATTAGAACAGAATAAGACCACACAAACGCGGACTACGTTGTCCGCTTCTCCTTTCTGGTGTCCGCGTAATGGCGTCTACCCTCTTTCACAATGAGTACTAACACAAGTTGAAGTCGTTGTAAGCACTATTCATTACATCAGGAATAGATTTTTTTCCCTAAGATGCTATAGAACGAAATGAGGCATAAGGCACGGAAGACGAAAAATTAACAGCAACACGAGAGTTTTTGCCCATCATGCGTCGCTTTTATGTTGTCGTCTTCTTGTTTTTATTTTACGTCTTTTCAACTTTTTTTTTTAATTCATGTACTGGTGACTCGACCATCAGTCTTTTTGTTTATTTGTAGCTTCCGTTTAAAGGATACAACTGAGTGAGGCATGCTTTAAAAATAGAAAACCGAATTTACGGGAATATTACACGCCTCCAACGGGCGAGGAAGATAAAGGAGAGTACAGCAAAGCGGCTGGCAGAAGTAAACGAAAAAAATTCCACATGGTGCAATGAGCAGAAAGCTGATGTCTTATATTGGAAACATGACGTCTTAATTCAACTCGGGACATGTGCCTCAAAGAACTCGTAAGAAAGACGTATGGAAGGTGACTAAGAAACATACGGATGTCCAAGCCTGGCTATGTGTTCATATAACGTATATTTGATGCCAGCGCTTTTTGAATACCGGGTCCACGATACACTATGGAGGCTAGCCTTTGAGAATAGGCAGATATATATGATGCAATCCTTTCAGGTACCACAATCACGCCATTCGCGTTATTTTTCAGTTCCCTTATACTTATATGAACAATTGTACGTGGCAACCCGTGAGCAATACTATTTCAGGGAAGCGTAACATTTTTTTATATGCGCGGTTGATTCCTTTCCGCCTACACTAACATTATTAATTCCAGAGCCAATCTGTTGCGTTGATAATTGTATTCCACTGGTGAGACTTTTTGTTTTTTTTTCTGTTTATATAATAAATAAAGCAGTGTAATTCATTGAGAACATGTCACGAAACTGTACGTGAGAAACACGCTAAATATTGACGACTGTTTTTCTATCGCTTAGTCCTCCTAATATATAATGTACGCAAAGGCTTAGCCTCCTTATGCAACATCTCTTTTTTTCCCGTCTTTCTTTTTTCTTTTTCCTTCTTTATTCAGCACAGGGTAGCCAGCCGTTCTGAGATCTGGTCAATCTAGCTTGCTTGCTCGCTTGACCCTTTACATGTGGCTCGTACCCACTACGGAAATTGGCCATTTAAACAGACGGTTATTATAAGGGGAAAATTTAATGGTAAGATGAAGGGAAATAAATTAAACCGTAGTCAAGGATGATTTAAGTATAGAATTATAATATGCAATAACATCAAACTAGTGAGGAGTCCGAAAAGTTTTTGATTGGAAATAATTTAACACTTAATTCTTCTTGTGTGTGTGAGAAACTTCCTATCCTTCCATCTTTTTCTTCCTCCTCTTTGGTTCAGACATTATTTACCGTCTTCGTAAACTGCTGGGGTACCGTCTTGGCCAAGTAGGTGAAGGCAGTTTGTACTTTTCAAGCTAGAAGTTTAAATAACAGAGTGCAATTAAATTAACAATGACAACGCGCAGAGCACAAAAACAAAAGCAAAAGAGAGAGAGAGAACGTAACCACGCGCAGGGCACTGCACTTAAGTACGTTTTCCTCCTTTTATCTAAAATCGCCTGATCACAATCACAAATACTCATAAACAGTGACTACGTAGTCCATTAGAAAAATTGCATGTTATTTACACGAAAAGACTTTGACAGTACACAAAAAATAATAACACTTTGTCAAAGTAGGAATGCTGCGTGAAGACGAATATACATCAGTAGCTAGGTAACTGAAACTGGTCATGGTGAGCGTGCATTCATTAACCTAGTGTCGCTGCAGTTTACACAGCCTACATACTGCAGCATATAGATACTGAGGACTCGCATAATGCGCCGTTAACTCCACGCCTCTATGCACAATTAACGCGTCCGTACTAAATTATCCCAACACGTAATAATGTGGTCAAGATGTTCATGCGTTCATTGCTATACCACACCGTCATCATCTCACTGCAGCGTCGGCACTGAAGCTGCCAGCTCAACTCATATGCCTCAGAGTGCTCATTCTTTGCAATTTTCGCTTTTCTTTTATTGCCATCATATTTATATATGTACATGCATGCTCGACCAGACCTTTTGTCGGCTAACGCAGTTTAATACTAACATTTTTGAGCTTTGTCGCTTCCTTGGATTATTCTACACTATTTACATCCCAGTCGTCTTCGACAAGTGCACAGGCGATAATTTTACTTCTTTTTTTAATTTTAATTGTTTTGTTTTGTTTTCTCGTTTTGTTATGTCCTGACTCTCACCTGCGGACTCTCATCCGTTAATTTTGCATCGCACCCTCTTGGTAATTGCACCGTCCTCTCTTCTTTTCATCAAGTGAACAAACAATTTAGGCATCTACGTAAAAACCTTGGCACTAATGCCACCGACATTGGCCTTGCTTGCTTTGATCTTGAAACCGGGGATTTATTTGCGCGAGGCTGCCTCCAACTTGCTGCATTTTCATTCATACACCGTGTTTTTTTTTTGCTTTGTTTTTTTTCTTGTAGCAACAGACATTCGTGCTGGAAAGCAGTCACGTGACTCGAACAGTAGTTGTATGCGCACGATCCGTTCCCCGACGCGAACCGCACTCGCAGGAATTGTGCCTTCGTGCTTCCTCCGTCGACAGTCGGGCTGTCAGCCAAGTGATGCGGAGATAAGCGGAGCACACGAGCGCTCGGAAAGCACAAATCTCAGCCCATTCAGCAGTGCCCGCCTAGGAAAAAAAAGAAGGCTCAGAACAATGGGAACGGCATTCCTCGCACCGAACGCCACGTGCCATCTTTCGAAGGTACACATCCCCGACGTGCACATTGCGCCCAACACAGCAACCAGGCCGGCTCATTCCTCTTGCGCAACGTAATCCTGCTAGCGTGACCGCTCCGGCTCTGAGTGTATTAATTTCTGTGAATTTACATACCAAGATATGTTTACGAGGCACGGCCTAAGGGGGTACTCCGGATTAATTTCGACCACCTGGGTTTTTTTTTTAGCGGCAAAGCAGTTTATGCTGGCAGTAAGAACTTGGGTGTCCTCAGAAAACCACAGCCGGGTAGGCGCCTCAGGATTTGGGCAAGCCCCACTACCGAGTACAGCAGGGAAAACTGCTCGGCTAAGTGCGGCACGGGAAACGCGTGAACGAGAGACAGTAAAAGGCAGAGAAAGAGAAACTTAGCAGCGCGACACCTCTTTATGAGCTACCGAGTAATGAAGACTAAGATATGTTCTAAAAATGTCATGAAGACGTCTCTTGCAAACATGAAACAAAAACACCCTATATGTTACTTTAGAGCAAACTGGGTAGTGGAGACGAGGAGGGTTATATTGATTTATTTATAGCCAGTACTTCACTAATTTCATCCCTGTTTACTGCCGCAAAATAAGGGAGAGGGAGCGTAAATAGCAAGCTTTGGTGCTACATCAGACGAAGTCTGCACTAGCCCGTTTATTTATTTATTTATTTATTTATTTATTTATTTATTTATTTATTTGTCTATGGTTTCGCGAATATGTGTCCAAATTTGAATCGAGTAAGAAGGCCGTAGCCACAGTCCTGGGTGCACGCTCTCTAAGATTTCCAGCTAAATCGCGGAACTGTTATTTATGGTAGCTGTCTCATTGGTTATAATATAACAGCTACAATGGATGACAGCAATTTAGCGTCGTTAAACTGGTTACCAGTCACGGTGTCTCCTATTGCGGTTCGCGGATGAATATTGGTTGCACAAATATCGGAAGGGGTTATACCAAAGGCGCGCCATGTCCATGTGTGTAAGCGTGTCGAATCCCCGTAGTACCATATGCCGGGTCGATTTGTACCAAATTACGAAAATAAAAAAAAGAAAGTAGTACAAGCAAAATTGAAGTCGTAATTGCGTTTTATATGATACAGGCGCTGTACAGACGCCATTACAAGTGCTTGCGACACAGCTTGCGCTCTCGTGACGTATATCTTTAGTTGCGCATGCATGAGCGGATATCGCTGATCTTTATCGTTTGATGGCGGCTAAGATTCGAGATAGCTAATCACGAGATAAGGTACGAGAATATCTTACTACTGATGACCAGCCTATCCATGCGGCTGGCAGAGGATAAGTACTGCATCAGGGTGGCCATTCTTGCCCCGGTGAAAGACTGCATTACTGGCACTGGTCGCCAGTGACGCCGCAGCCGGGCCTTTTTTTA